TTTGGGATAACCCATGGAATCAAAGAGTTTTGAACCATCATTTATTTATTTTTTGTCCAGTACTTCTCACATTTGTAATCAAACAAGGATTCCGCTCTCACGAATTCCCTAATGATTGCATGAACGTTGGAGTCTAAGTAATTAATAAATAAGTAAGTAGTATATATCTGTATAGTCACATAATAAAATTTATTTAAGTAATTACCACTTATTACTTTAGTTTAAAACTATATATACTACTAAGTAATATTTTGACAGTTAAACATGTGCAACTTAAACCTTGAGTTAGGATTTTTATGAACTAATTTGCAGAATATACTACTTTCACAATTATTTTGGATGAAGAAAAGTGCCATATTTTATCCTCGAGACTGCTGTAGTCCACATATTTCCAAGTTATATACTTTTGTTATGTAGAGAAAAAATGTCAGGGTTAAGTAAAAACAAGATTAAAATTGTGTAAAATCTGTATGTTTTATTTTTACCATGCTAAATACCATCAGCAAAAGCTAATGAGAGGGAGCATTTGAAATATAATCGAGAAAGTAAGAATACATCACATGTTTATAACAAACCAGACTACACACATTGAATCAACTAGTCGCTGTGAACATAAGCATCATCTTGATGAGAAAACTCTTCAAGAGTAATCAGCCACATCATACAACAGCTGTTTGAGAGCCTCAGAGTCAATTCTTCCACGGTCGGAGGGTGACATATCAGCCTCCACCTCCGACGCCAACGACAGATTTTGAAGTCTGTCCGAAGGAGACATTACAAGAGAGAAAAAGTCTGCAGGTTCCGGATACATCTCAGACTCAGCGAGTGACTGCTTCAACTCAGTGTTATCTGGTATTTTGACTTGCTCGTTGTTACTTCCACTTTGGTTATTTTCGTCTGCCAAAAATGTTGCCGGGTCATCACATTTTGCTTCCTGGAATTTAAAGAGTTTATTAAACATTGGTCACTAACTGTCTGGTGGAGATATGCGAGCCTAAGTCAAGCTTTTGTAAAAAACTTGAGCATTTTTTTTTTTGACAGAGCGTTTTATATACGGTAATGATTTTGACGTGATATACTAAATTAATTTTAAACAAATCTTCTTTTGAAAATGCAATTAATTGAAATGATAAATTTATACAAGCAGTATTGAATTAAGTAATTACACATTTAGTGTAATGAATCTGCATTAATCACAATGTTACATTATTATTGTGGTAATATTGTGATATTTCTCCTTGGTCCTATAAACAACATCATCCTCTTCTGTAATCGCAGCAAAATCTTTAACATATCCCACAGTCATGTAGGACATCATCATAGTCTTTCACAATTGCAGCAAAATCCTAACCTGCAGTTGCATCATTATCATCTCCAGCGATAAAAAAAAAAAAACTTTATAGTTATCATCTGCGATTGTGGAAAAAACAAGAATTTTCCCATCTTCATTCCAAGTCCCTCATTCTTCTCAGACGCGGTTTTACTTCCGCAATTACAACGCAATCGTAAAAGCTTAACTCAGCTTGATTTTCTGACTAGGCATTTTAAGCTTGTTGGCTAGACCAGGCTTGGCTCTTAAATCAAGATTGCACACTTCTATTGTCTGATAATAAAAATAAATCTAACCAAAGAGTTAAAGCATTGTATTTGAGTTGTGAGGCTTTTTAATAATTTAAACACCCACAATTTGATACTAATTAATAAGTAATTAATATCTTTACCTTCCATAATAGGTTATGAAGTTATTACAGAAGGCAAAAGTCTTACTCTCGGTTCTTTGAAAATTTAAGATTTTTTACCAACTTAGGAATACATTTTAACATAGCTTATGAATGTTAGTAATCATTCATGTAAAACCCTAAAGCACCTTACACACAGTTCATTGATTAAACTTAAATAAAACATGTAAATTATTTGAGATCAGAGAAATAGGATCAGTTTATTAGTTGATTTAATTACAAAATGTCACAAAGCGTAGCATTTGAACAACAGACATGACGAACCCATTTACCAACATAAAAAATGTTTCATATTCCTTATTTACACTGTAAGTAAAGTGTAAATCCCAATATTAAGATTTTCAGGCTTGGGCACAAGAAATATATTGTTACTGACTAACACAATTTTACAGTACTTAAAGATAAAATATTAATATCTTTAACATACTTTTAAGGAGTTTTCTAAGCCTTGCGTTTAACCACAGAAAACATACTACTATAACCCAGAATGCCAACCGCATGGTAAAAAGCATTAAGTACTTTGAAGCCACATAGCCACATAAAGGAAAGGCAGCGCACTAAGCATAGCAACGCTGGTGGCGCTGCCTACGAGTTGGCAGGCAAAGCTCTCTCAAAGTACTTAATGCTTTTTACCATGCGGTTGGCATTCTGGGTTATAGTAGTATGTTTTCTGTGGTTTAACTTAGTGGTGGTTATCAAGGTTTGAAGGTTTGTTTTGGATTTATGATCAAGTTTTACAAAACATTCTCCTAAGTATAAACATAAAATAAACTTACACTGAGAAGAGGAGTAGAGACATCCGTGCCACTGTTGGCTGTAGAAGTAAAACATTTGTGGGTTCTTTCACTGACCTGGAATATATTGAATAGATAAATACATGGTCATATGAGAGAGAGTCTATATCAAGTACAGTAGTAGACTCCTTCTCTTTCAGACATCCTACAACTGTATCCATGTTTGAACTAAAATAGGTTCGAACCATAATTTAATGCCATAACAAATAGATTTCAAAACCAGAACCAGTAAGCAAAACCATACTAGACACAGTAAAAAATAAAGAAATATATCAATTACATTTGTTACAAACAGCTCAAGATGATTAGGATGTGTCTTTGGTTTATTTTGTATGTGGTTCGGATTTTACTATAAACAGTAGGTCCCATAATTGCCATTGGCTGTAACATCTGTGTCTAAGGAATATCCCTAACAAGACTACAAGATAAACCATTAATCCTACACTCATCTCCAACCATACCCGCAATTTGACCATTTCAAAGTAAAGAATTAAAGTATGTATTTTATATGTTTTATGGATGGGAACGGTGCTTACTGCTAACTCAAGTCTTGTTATTATCTAATGGCGACCTTGTGTTGTTAGCTTAATACATTGATAGCCAAATGACAAAGACATCTTGATCTAGTCTAGAGTCCACCCCGCTTGGAATTGAACCGGCGACCTTCAGATGTGATGGCAAACACTATAACAACTATTTATCCCTATGGTAGACACAAACCTTGTATCGGAAGGTTTTGCCACAATCTTGACATCGGTATGGCATCACACCTGTGTGTATGCGACGATGGACCAGGTATGACACTCTCTGGCGAAAACATTTCCCTGTTCAAAAGAGAAAAGTTTAAAAAGTAACTAAAATAAATTATGAAAAGCACATTGAATTTTTATTTTACATTGTTAATATCAGTTGAAATATACAATATTTTCTTTACTAGTGATAAACTGTATAAGCGGGGAAAATATATACGGATATGGCAGTAACCATTCAAATATTTTTGTGATGGTTTTTGTTTACCGTGTCCGTAACATCTATATATATAATACGTGAAGCAGTTTTTTGTTAACGCAACTCCTCCCTTATTTGTGGACCAATTTCAACGTTTAAGGTGTCAAAAGATTTGTCTGGTATGTAGTTTTGCAATAAGGTTTTAGAATTTTAAAATTCCTACTCTAAAGGGCGTGAGAGCCTCTTGAAGGTCGGGGTTTCCCCATAAGAAATACATAGAACAAATTTAAAAACAAAAAAACAGCTGTTTATAAAAAGAAACTCATTAGTTTTTAGGGAGTAAATATTAATGTTTGTAATATTGTAGGTTAAGACCAAGCTAATCAGTTAATCAGTTTTGTTGGAAGAACAGAAAATGCCTCAAGTTCAAAGATATATTGAAAACGGGAGGATGAGACAATTAATAATAAGATATCTTATGCGTATGAGGAGAGTAGAAATAGAGAGGCCTGGTCTAACATACACATATCCAGATACACATTCACTTGGTGAGATGAACAATATTTGCCAGTTCTGCTATACGATGCAGATAGTGTTGTCACAGTGGTAAAGTAAACTTGCCTAATGTCAGATCAAATGAATGCATGCAAGAAATGTTTACTTCTGGCACTGACGATCGAGATATTTCAAAACATTTATTAGAAACTATAATAATGCCTTGACTATGATAAGGTCAAGTAGTCAGATGATACCAAATCTTGGTGGACCTTATGTTTTTATTGTTAACTTTTGTATTACTCGCGCTTTACTTCAATTGAGAAAAACGCAAATGGATTGTTTACTTCTAGGTTATTTTGCCAGTTCCTCGGACAATATGATGAATATGATTCACGCGTGGCAAATAATATACGCTGTTCAAAAAAAGAAAATGAAAATTGATATCCAAATCTTATAGCTACAATAGTTATCCAACCTATTTTGACAAAAGAATCCATACTTTCAAAACTTTGGGACAGGTATTGAGAGTAACTCCGCTGAACAACGTGAGAATGTTCTGATGCGGGGCATACACGGTAACTGACAGACAACACGTTAAAATATGTTAACAAACTATCAATGGTGTTGCTACTTTAGCCTATTGAAATCAGATTATGGCTGTCCAGTTGTAACCCAGATTTTGTGGGTAAAAAATGGAGCACATGAATGGTCGATATCACCCAACTTTTGAGGATTCTCTACAGAGAAAATTTGTTTTATTAGAGGGATTTCTCAAATCAAAGAATAAAAATTACCCAACTTAAATTACTTAACACAGTCGCCTTAACACAGTAAGGCGGCAGTTTTCTACAATTCTCAATGCTGGAAAAACTTTGTTGCAACATGTTAACTCAAATTGAAGCAGTTTGTTTAGCATTCATTAGAAGTTGTCAGTTAAAACTGAGAGCAGAAATAATGTAGGCACTAACAACCGAACCTTGACGACGCAAATAGAGATAAGCTATTTAAAATTATTTTCTAACAAGTGTTTAAACAACTTAACTCGAATTTAATCATACGGTAACGTGTTCATAAAACTCAATCAATGAGCCGCACGGGTTCTCTAGTAATTATCTAATAGATTGTTATGAAATCATAACTCTGCATGTTTTTAATTTAAGCAAAGAAATTAAATCATATAATAGAATTTCACAGGATTCTTAACGATGAAGTTTCAAGTTAGAACAAAAAATAAATCAAACAGAGTTAAGGGTTAATAAACAGACAAAACTTACCTCACAAAATCACGATTAGAACACACTCACACATAGCATCTCTGAAACAGTTAAATGTTATTTTGGTAAACTTAACTAGTTCATATATTAAAGTGACAGAGGTAAACTACTGACAGGGGTAGGTTGGACACAAATGATACTTTTCTACAAATAACATCAGTGCAATACAAGAACTAAATGCTGACAAAACTTTGTCTAACTAGGTACCTTAATCCTGAATAAGTTGGAAATTAAGCTCTGCAATTATCGGCAAATAATTTAGTTCATACAACTTTTTAACAAATAGCTGAACTCGGAGGAAGAAGGAAAATATAGTAGAACTCCTACTACCCTAACTCTAACTAACCGAATCCTCAACTGATAAAATGAAATTAAATATCATATCACAGCACAAGGGCTGGTCTGACAGGTTTACAGACAGTATACAGTACATGCCTTTACTGTAACCATAACACATCCACTACACTAAAATGTTTCCATAAAGATAAATTTGGATCATAGATCTACTGTAGTTATTTTAAACCACAGTCATATTAGGTCCAAAATAAACACAGATGCTGGAAAAAAACAAACAGATTATATACATTTGGAACATGATAGTTTGTTTAAAAATAAAGAATTATAAGCTTAGTTGGAGGAATGCTTGTTAAGTATGATGGCTCCTCAGTTGCTAGTGGTACTGGCAATGCAAGCGGCGTAGCACTGTATGGTTGCCTACCACAGGTCTCGCAAGAGAAGGGTTTCTCGCCAGTGTGTATCCGTTGGTGGTTGTGAAGTGTGGACAACTCCTTGAATGATCGGCCACAGTCGCTGCAAGTGTACGGCTTGTCGTCACTGTGGTATAGTAGGTGCTTGTGGTACGATTGCTGGAAGGTGAAGCTCTTGTTGCATTGGCTGCACTGATACGGCATTTCACCTGCAACCATGACCTAGTTTATTAAGGTTTGAATTCATTTTTAAGTAATTTCACTATAAAACACATTAAACACACAAACAAAATTGAAATATTTAATGGTCACACACACTTTGGCAAGCACAGAGAAAGGAAGTGTAAAAAAGGTGTTGTAATAAATCTAACCTCTTAGTTTATTAAGTTATTTGCTACTATCATGGGGTCTACACTTTGAATTGAACCAATTAAATGCTATCCTCTCTATACATTTCTGTGTCTTATCTAAAAAGTGGTCCGAGTAAGTTTGGCTATGGGGAAAAATTGGGTACGCCGTAGGTTTTCATTTCTATTCAATTTTTTTGTGGATAAAACTTTCAACGGTCTTAACCAAATTGGACGGAGCTTACAAAAAATATGATGGTTAAGGTTTCTGACAATTGACTAGCTTTAGCTTTAGGATTTTTCATTCATTAAACTTTATTTTACTCTTTTACAGAAACTTTACTCGTCTAATGTTTACATTAACTTAAAATTAAAGTAGTAATTTATGGCAATGGCAGAGTATTAATTAATATAAAATATTTTCTTCTCTGATACGTTGCACAGTGACAACAATAAAATAATAAAAACATATTACTAAAACAACACTATTATTTCAGAATGCATTGTCATGCAATTCACAAAGCAATGTTACAAAATAATGTGAAAATTCATCAGTATTAAGAGGTTGATAAAAATTGCTATGTTGATAATTATTGTGTACAACCTAACACAAACCTGTGTGTAGACGTTTGTGTTTTCGCAAGAAGTACTTAGTAGTGAATGTCTTGAAGCATATGTCACACTGCTTTCCATCATGGAGCTTCTCATGCAACGCCAACTGTTGTTCCTTTAATAACAAACATCATACTATATTGTAATGTGAAAGTTTGAAGTTCAATCACGCAATTGAATTGTTAGTGAGTCGGTGGCTCAGTTGGTAGCGTTACGGACTTCGGGCCCAAGGCAGCGATGTCGTGGGTTCAGATCCTGGTCACTGCCACAAACATTGATCAGTTCACCTTCGTACTGTACCAGCTCACCCCATGCTTTGCTGGATACGTTCCACGCACAGATCTGTAGTCTATGTGGACAGGCAAATGCAAGGTTAAAAGACGTCGCCAACCTCTTAAAAAAAATATATATATATATATAAATAACTATTGGTCGGATTGGGCTGACATTTGGCATTATGATAGCTCATATTTCTGATTATCAATTATCAATCAATTATCAATTAATTATAAGTTAACATTATATTAACATTATAAGTCTCAAAAATACATTTGGGCTCCGCCCCAGTGGCTCTGCAATTCCCCATGTTAACCTTATGAGTATTCACAATTAAAAGGAATTAAAGAATTTCGTCAGCTGTTTCAACTATTAAGTTGGTTCTATGATACGCAATAGCATTAAATAGTTATTTGTGTAACTAGTGGTGAAAGTGGCAATTTGCTGCACACGAGAGCAATGTTTACGCACAAGCCGCAGGCGAGTGCGGAATGATCTCGAGTGCAGCAAAGGCCTTTTTCACTCGTGTTACACATTATATTTTTCCTACAGTCACTATAAAGCATATAAATAATTAGTCTTTCAAACACTATACAACACGTTTTTAGGTTCAGCTGACAACACAAATGGTGCCCTAGAGAAAGTAGTACCCGCGGTCCGTATCACTCCGCTATTTTTCCTCGGCAAGAAATGTGCTCCACGTTTTGAGAATATAGTTCCGTATGTTTTTGTAATTTGAAGTGGTTTCCGCGCCTAAAAAATGCTTTAAAGGTATTTTCTTGTTTATTAAGATCGTAGGAACGTTTTAAAAACGTTTAAAAGAAAAGTCCAGAAAGTTCAGAAATATCGAAACTATAAACACGAAATGACAGGTTAAATCGTAGTTATAATAGTCAATCAGCTGCTCATAGTATTATTATCTTTAAGTGTTGCCAACCTATTTCCAAGCTTACACGGATTACGTGCATAATAGAACCACGCTGTTTTGTGTTGTTTCGTTGGAATCCTGATGTGCGGCAAAGTATAAACCGTACGACAAAGTATAAACCGTACGGCAAAGTATAAATATGCAGCAATTAGCAGCTTTCTGTACTATAAACAGTACAAGGAAGCCAACTTTGTCGGGTGACTGTAGGAAAAAGTTATAAGGTTTACCAACAGGGTGCAGAATTATTTTTTTTGCATATAAAATTACAACAGCTAATTTGAACTAAGCAGCAACAAAAATCTGTCATACACAATGGGAACTGTCAAAGTAAGATTGTTTGCAGTTCTGTTTATTTTTTAAATTTAATAATTAGCAAGAAGAATTCAACAGAAATACTACAAAAAAAATTTATTCAAGTTTAACTTGAATAATTTTTTTTTTATAAACAACCCATATTAAAATAAATTAAACCCCTAACACCAACATAAACATGAATATTAGATTAATTAGAACATTTAGTAGTCAATATTTCTCTGTGTTATGAAATATTGATATAAAAAAGAATTGTACGTCATTAGAGTTATAGTATTTAAGATGCCTTTTGAAATTCATAATACAATTTACTTGTTTCATTACTGTTGATGGCGATATGTATTCTCTATTGCTATGAGCTTGTGTGGAAACAGTGTTATTAACAATAATAATGACACAAAAAATGTCAGCAGTTTTAAAAATAAAACTGCCAAAATCTTAAATTTCGAAACTCTTGAATCTCGAAACTCGGTGATCGAATCTCGAAACCGAAACTTTTCCAAAGTTTTGATGGTTTTGAGATTTGAGATTCGGTTTTGACACATCACTATTTTACTGTATGTTTACCAACTGCAGCACTGTTATTTTTTTTTATTTATCACAACAGTTAATTTGCAACCAAAAGGTGAGTGAGCGTAGCGAACGAACTTCAACCAGGAGGCGAGGTAGCGTAGCGAACGAGCTAACCTGAAGGCAAGTGAGTGCAGCAAACGAGCTCCAACCTAAAGGTGAGTAAGCGTAGCAAACGAACTTCAACCAGGACGTGATTGAGCCATTCGAACGAGCTCATCTTGAAAATGAACATACATCAGCATACATTACCAATTTTGAATTAAGATTTTGTTTCAAGAGATCATCAACATTAATAAGAAACAACACCTTCAGTGTCATTTTTGAAGTTTGAATAGTTAGAGTAATTCAGTTGAACTTTATTTTACAATCCCGCGCTTTTTTTGTGAAATTACCAAATAACTACGGTAAGTGGCAGTGAGTTTAGAGGGCTAAAAAAATCTTTTGGACGGTAAAAAAAAGTTTAAAGTTCCTAAAGTAAGTATTTAAAAATGAATTATAAACTGTGCCTGCAGGAACTGTCTGATGAGGTCAAGGTCAACACTTGAACATACTAAACTGGACCTTTTAAATATCATGTGTAACCCTACACATAAAAACGTTATGTAACTCTAATAATGAACTTTGATGACGTCATTAACAAGTTTGCCTAAAAAACATGTACAAAAAAAACCAGTTATGTAAAGTGTTGAGTGTTTAGCGTTGTAAAGGTTTGTAGTTAGATCTTAAAAAAAAAATTTTGTTTGAACAGTATTCGATGTTATTTATAACAAAACCCATTTTACTTTTAAAAACGTACCCTTGGGAATATAAATGTGTATGTAAGTAATAGTTAAACTTATTGTATTTAATTTAAAGTTTGTACAACCTGTGGTCTAGTATTAAATGTCTAAATACAAAACCAGTGACAATGATAAATAAACCAAATCACAGTATGACGCTGCACGTATGTGAAAGCACTATGTAGACTATAGGCCTACACCAGATTTCTTAAATGCTAACGAGTGTCAGTTTATAGCCTAAAACTAGACTCGTCTTAACAGTACAGGCTAAACAACCAGCAATTTTTTTAGGATTGTGTTAAAAATATACTAAAAAGTTTGGACATGTTTTCCACATTGTATCATTGTATGAAAAAACAAAACATTTCACTTACTTTCTGAAAGCCTTTGTTGCAAACAGAACAGACAAACTGAGCTGAATCTGGACTGACAGCGTTTGTCTCTAATTGTTTTGCCTCCACCAGTCTTGCCACTACTGGAACATAATTATGAGAGAAATGGGTAGAGCTAGGCATTATTCAACGTAAAAGAATAAATAACAATATTACTAAGGACAAGGTGTCATCTATTACCCTGGTTAAATATTACTTACTAAGAATATGAACTTATGTAAATAATATCATCTAAACTAATTAAACAAACGAAAGAAATAACTATCCAACTGATTGCGTTTTCTATTAACAGCAAGCAAATGTTAGGATCAAGAAATAATACTGGCCTAACTTAGCGCTAGATTACTGAGAATACGATTATTTTTGTAATATCCCTGGACTGTTAGAACGAGCGGGTGAAATAATGCTGTTTGAGTTTTCCTATTAACGACAAACATCGCAAAATAATATAGTACCTTACTAATACCATTGCTTTTCTATAGTCACTATTCTAAAGGTTAAAATACCTTGTTGCTAAGGTAATTCTTGGTCGCCTTAATGGCAACCGGTTTTGACACACTTATGGTGTCATTGTCAAGCATTGGACACTTGGGGTGGTTGTCTCTCCTAGGTCGTCAAAAAGTCTTCAGAAAACACAACCAAAGATTTTACAAACAAATAGCCTAATATTATATGCCATACAACAATGATCAAGGCGCAGCTGCAGGTTCAGGAAACAAATAACAACGATGTCTCAAATATTAACAAAACCATCGATGTGTATTGTATTTTCACAAAAAAGGGGGTCGTTTCCTGGATACTATTGAAAAATATGAAATTTTCAAGACCGGCAAGAAATCCTCCCAACATTTTCTTAACAAAAAAACGTAGTTTGAGTCAGGCATAATTTACGAAGCAGCCTCATTCATAGAAAAATTATCAGAAGACAATGGTTAGCAGATACCAACAATGCGAGGGGTAGGAGGGAAAGGGGTGGACACGGCGACACTCAGTGTAGACCGACACCCTGAACCTGCAGCCGCGCCGTGATTATTAGTTGTATGGTCATACAGTATTATTTGTTTGTAAAAAGGTTTGTTTATGTCCATGTCTTGTTCGTGTTTTCTGAAGATTTTTGGACGACCTCCTAGGTCCAACCACGTCCAAGGCTTGATGATACCATAAGTGTGTCAAAATCGGTAGCCATTAAGATTACAAGGGATTACTTTGTTATTGTTAAGTAATCCAGAAGGCAATATGAAGTCTCTAAAGTCTTAAACTGTTTTGACCGAGCGAGTGAAATAACCCTGATCGTGTCTTCCTAAATTAATGGTGAGCATTAGGAAATAATATACAGTAGAGTTCGGATAGTACAAAATGGTTGGGACATTTTGGATTAACAAATATTTCAGATAAAAAGTTTTTGTTGTTTTTTTCATATTTCGTAAAATTTGTTAATTTCTTTTTTTTCTTTCTAGGACGCTAGGCATGAGCCCGGGATTTTTTTTCATATTACTGTACTTTAAGCTAGAACTAGGGGTTGTAGCATTATCACTTAAGTAAAATCCATTGGTGATTTGGCGGGATTGGAACCTGGGACGAAAATGAAAAATGTTTACTAAAAAAAAGGGGTGAAATGTTTACCTACTAAATAAATACTCTATACAAATACAACCAGTCTATCTTGTCCAGTCGCTACAGAATACTTCGAAGAGGTACAACTAAATGTCGTAACACAACAGTGCTAGCAGTTTCGGCTTCTCCCAATGGGTGACAGCACCTACTGGGTCATCACTTTTTGTGTCTACAATAAACTGCATTAATGTCGTTACGCGACGATGCTTGTAGTTACAACTTTCCCCGATAAATTACAGTACGTACTGGGTAAAAAAAATCAAAAAAGAATTATTTAATTTTAAAAATTGTTAAATTTTTTTTCGGTTTTGGGTTAAGAGGAGTTTCGGATTACCGAAGTTCGGATTATCGGGACCCCACTGTAGTAGGTACAATGGTAGCGATTATTTGTTTATTGTCATTTGAACTGTTAAGACTAACAAGTAAATTAATACTGATCGTGTCTTCCTATTAACAGCGACCCTGCTACAACGTCTTTGACGAGGGAGTGATCCCTGAAAAGTTATGGACATTCCTTACTATTAATACGAAGTACCGGTAACAGTATTTCCCATCCATAGAATGGGTGCTAAATAAATCAAAATAAAAAAGTGTTATCTATCATTCTTTGCTGGATAAAGTATTCTATTGTTCTCATTAATTAAGTCAATTAGGCTTACTTGAGAGAAAAATTACTTTGCAAGAAGGTTAAACATGGTGGCAACTTCTATTTGATCTATATTTCATTACTGCTCTCATAATATATTTTGTATTGTTCAGCTTGTGGGCTTCACTCACCTTAATTTGTTAATCCAGGACTCGTCAAATGTAACATAACGAAGACACAAACACACATACACGCACATAAAAATCGTCCTTGGATTAATTTACTCCGACGTTTCGCGGGACCAAGATAACGTCCCGCTTCCTCAGGGAATAAAAACTTTGTTTCTCTCGCGTACACGAGCCGAACGCCTAACCACGAATCTTGGTCCCGCGAAACGTCGGAGTAAATTAATCCAAGGACGATTTTTATGTGCGTGTATGTGTGTTTGTGTCTTTGTTATGTTACATTTGACGAGTCCTGGATTAACAAATTAAGGTGAGTGAAGCCCACAAGCTGAACAATACAGTATAATAAACCTCGCCTAAAAACATGTCTTTCAAAAATAGAATAATATATTTTGTCCTAACATTCACAATAAGTTGTAGACCATAATGACTATATCACCTAAATTTATATAAAATCAAAATTAAAGGATTAAAAAAGAGATTCAATACTAAAATTGATGTTTCAATTTTTACAAAATTTTTTATCTTTGAACTTGTATCCATCTAAGTTACAAGAAAATATCACAAAACAAATTCTGAACACTTTTAAAAGCCTTCTTGTTATTTCACTATAATCTCCTTATTAACTTTTTTGGTACAAAACAGATTTCATCTTTACATAAAGGCACATATCGACACACTATCGATCTTTTCCCCGATCAAGACCCTGAACCGAGCAGGGAGAAGGGAGAAGGGAGGTAAATACAAGCAAAATTTCAATCCGAACATTTCTCCGAACATGACCAAGACCAGACAAGTTCTACCGAGCACAGTTAAAGGGACTTTAGAGAGAGATGGAGAATGTGTGTAAGTGAGAGCGCGGAGGAAGTAATAATAAAACAGTAATAAAACATGAAATTACATGGTACAGAATAATTAAAATTGCCTTTAATAATATTTATATTTATATTAATTTTGAAAGAATTTAAATATAACATCAATTACTTAAAATTCAAAACATTATTTGTATCATTAATTTAACGGTTTCAACTAGTAAAATAAATTTTCGACCTTGACCAAACAAACTACAAAAACAAAATTATAACATAAATGTACATTATATATAAAGGCAAAATATTACCCAACATTTATTTATTTTACCAATTAAAGAGATTAAATGCAATATTAAATTAGAACTATCAACGCTAGCGCAGGCGGCCGCTCGGTGCGGCGCTCGCGACGACGTACGGGGCAAAAATATACCGTGACACACTATCGTACATCACTCCGATCTTTTCTCTGATCTTTCGCCAAAAAACCGCCTCCAGAGCGCTCGTCTCCCTGCTCGGCCTGATGTCTGGTTCGCTGTCTGGATCGGTGTACGGGCCCCTGACACACTATCGAACATGCTCCCTTCGACCTGCTCGGTTCGGGGTCTTGTTCGGGGAAAAGATCGATAGTGTCACCGTCTTAAGAAATACAAACTTACCAGCACCACCAAAATGTGCTACCCTCATGTGGACCATCAAGCTTCCCTTCATAACAAATGATTTAGAACACAGATGGCACTTGTAACTAGTAGGTTCAGTCGATCCAAGTTCTACATGAATTAGCTGGCGATGCATGGATAGAATATTTTCATCAGGGAAAACTAAAGAGCATACATCACAACGGAAACCTACAACTCGTTCACCTTTTGGTGAAAGGTATGAATTTTTTAAACCAATTTTATTTTCCGTGTTTTCCAAGGAACAGCTAATTTTATTACAAACACCTGTTGTTTGTCCTGTTTCTAGCAAATCGGTCACTTCCTTTTCCTTTTCATGACAAAGTTCCATTTGTAATTCATGTTCTTTGACAGGATTTATCATGTTTTGATTTTCGTGATTAAATGGAAGGAAATATTGGAGAGAATGATTCAAAGAAGATTCTTCTACAAGATTCCTATTGGATGTCTTACCAAGGTTCTCACAATGGGAAATACTTTCACTTTGAGTAGCTGTTTTTTCAAAGTTTATCGTAAATTTGGGAAGACCTGAAACAGAGCCGGTTTCATTATCAAGAGTTCTAACAACATTTTCTTTTGCCCCTGGAGAATGTTTGTTCGTATTGTCAGAATTGAAGAATATCATGACTTCATCATCGATTTTAAGACTGGGTCTTTCATTCTCAATGTTACTTTGCAAAGCAGTAGGGTCAACATCTGACACTGGCTCAGTGGTGTTTTGCTTCGCTTGTTCACTCTGATTCTTTATAAGGTTCAAAGGTTGCGAGGACAAGACTGATCTTGCATCAAAGGTATCATTAGACAGAACTCTCTTGAAGCCGGGTGAGTGGATGAGGTGTCCAAGGAGATGTATTGTCAGCTTGTCCAACCCTCTCAGTTCCTCCTCACACATGGTACACCTCAGCCACTTGGATGCTACGTTGACGAGTGCCAGGCATAGAGTACTGGTGTTGGAGAAACTTGGAGAGGAGCAAACAGGACAAGAGATCAGTGATTGAGCCATCCTACAAACAGATCAAAAAGGTTAGTACGAGCCACGGAATTCATCCCTTAACTAAACTTTACCTCAAAGTAAAACGTTAAAAATTATGTTTGTAACCTATTAAAAAAAACTAAAAAATCATTATTTTTGTTTCTAAACTTAATTTTTTCACTTCATCAGAATTTATTACAAACACTTTATATTTATTACTCTTTTGGTCTAGTATTACTCTTAGCTTTTTCTGTATTAGGTTATGATTAAAATTTGTAGGTCCATCTCCTTTGTTGGTTTTAAGAAATTGTGAGGAATCTGTTATTTGGTAAACATTATTTATACTAGATGATTTAGAAAAAAATATGTATGTAGGTCCATTGGAAAAAGTTATAAATAAATGGATTAAAGTTCAAAACATCATGTAATAAGATTAAAAGGTCTACTTTTATATGAAAAAACTGTATTTTTGAAAATATCACAAACCTGAAGATGAATGTTCAAAATATCCGTTAGATGTGTTCAATCTATATTGTTAAAATTTTTATATTAGTAAATTATAGTTTTCCAATATATCAGTCCTCTCAATTCTTATGTAGTTTTGTACACTCAGTCTGTGCTTGGAGTGGACCAATGCTACTAGGCGTCGAGACTGCAGAATGATGATCTACAAATTAATCCTTTACAAACAAACTCAACAAGCGTGGAGTGTAGTATAATTAAACCAGCCTAAGAAGCCACTTGTGCCCTGTGCGGGGCGGTTAAGGAAAATATGGTGGAAAATAACACTGTTTTACAAACATTGATATTGCCTCCAAATCCCCAGCTGCCTGAGACTTGTCCTCATTACAACTAACCAACGATCCAAAATTTTTGTAACGTTAAGTAAATCCAATTCGATATACCGTATCAATATTAACGAATTGAGACATAGCAGCTGACAACTACAATAATACATATTGTTCAGAATCAACAAACAATTTAAAAATAGCCTATAACTTATGTGTGTGAAGATATTAAAACAGAAGGAATATATGGTTCGTAAAAGAAAACATGAATATGAACATAGGGGTAATTATGTCAACCTCCAGTCATAATTACCTTTACCATATTTTGACATAATTACCTTGATAGGCCTATACAGAAAAAAAATCACTGATAATAATAAATGTTCCCTTTAATAGGAAAGTAGGCCTACCGTAATTCCTCACCTAACCTAAAAATACTTAACTTACGTAATGTATTTCCCTAACAAAAAATAATTGGATCAGGCCAAGGATTTTCATTATGCTTAGTGGCCCAGGATCACTAACTTATTGAATTAAATGGTATATTTTATGTTACCTGTCCGTCAGTGATCATAATTTTCATCTAAGGCTCTCTACTCTAAATCATTACCACCTTGCCGCGTCGTAGTGTCCTTTTACTAGCTAGTTGTGAATACTGTAGCCTAATAATAATAATAATAATAAATTGTCTTTATTCAGCAAGTGTTTTTTCAGATAGGCCTAGGCCTATGTAATATTCTGATATTTACAAAACAACTCTTGTCATTAACCCTTAGAGTGCCAGGCGAGAAATAAAAGTAACGCTCAAAAAATGCCGATGATTTTTCCCGAAGGTCGCGCTAAAAATGCCGAGCGCGATCTGGTGATTTTTAGGTTAAAATTTCGTAAAAATCTAATTTTCGATATTTCGACCAACGAAAATCGATGTATCGCATCTAGTAACTCTCGACTCAATGTTAATATATGGGTTAAAAGAATCCGAGTATCCATTCGGTTGTTATGACAACTGTTCGATCATTACGAAACGTCCGGTCAGCCGGACGTTGGCACTTTTGGCTCGTTCTAAAAACGTCCGGTCGGCCGGACGTCAGCACTTTTGGCTTGTTTTAAAAACGTCCGGTTCCCCGGACGTTGGCACTCAAAGGGTTAACCTACTTAAACTATAAATAAGTTCAAATCAATCTATCAAACAATCTAAAAACAATATATGTACGGTAATCAATCTTAGGGTATATCGTTTTATTCGTACAATGTCCTTCTGTGTTTTAAGTTTCAAGCTTCTGTTTTTGTGTTCATCAACAACCTCAACTTAGGTGAAATGACACTTTTGTAAGCTGCCTATTGAGATCTTTATCTCATAACCAGTCGCCTTAGACAACAATAGGATCACTGACGGACAGGTAACATAAACTATTTAGGTTAAATCAAGGATTGTTAGTGAATTATATTTACTATTTCAGTGAGATTTAAACCAATAGCCTAGATCTACACCATAACTTGTTTTATAGCTTAGCCAAATTCTGAATCATTGTCTAGGCCTATCTAAAAGAAATATCGAAATTGTACTTAGTTAACTTGGATCGGATCCAGTATTTTTCTACTTGAAATTAAAGTTAAACCTAGGCTACTCAAATTGGTTAGAGCTCTTAAGTAAATTGGGCAACTTGAGCACACACATACACATGCACTAGAGGGAATATGAACTTCATACCTATCACATAACATACCTTAATTAATTATCCTGTTATAAACTTAGAACCAAAGCAAGAGCTGGGTTACAAATATCCTTCCAGGCATAACGTTTAAATTTAAACGCTACCTAGGATAGGAACATACTGACTGAACACAGGGTTAACCCCAAATCCCAAACATAAAGGTTATAGGTTATGTTATGTTGTCTGGGTGGGTAATTAACCCTTGCCGACAGACCGTCAACCGCCCACCACAACCCACCACTGCTCGAGCGAACACCATTCGGTTCGAAACCCACCGGAGGCACAAACTTTTTGACTCGAATTGTTTTCATTATCAGCAAGTTTGGTTAGGTTATGATATTTTAATTTTATAATTAACTTAAAAAATTATATAATTGATTTTGAGACATTATAATTTTATTTTACGAAAAGAACTATTTTTGTTATTAGTAAACCTTTATTCGAAATTTTCATTATCAGCAAGTTTGGTTAGGTTATGACAGTTAAATTAATTTAAATTTAACCTACAAACGACACGTTTTGACAGCTACAGTGAGAGAGCTAACAATTTTTCACTAACAGTTCGGTGGTTCGGCTATGCACGGTATGATACGTTCTGCACGTCACGGTGGTGGGCGGTGGCGGTCTGACGGTAAGGTCAGTAAGGTCTCGTGCTGGGTACACTTCCATATCTGTTGGCACAAACAACCGAGTGAGTAATATCGATCAATATATCGATATACCGTTTGGTTAATTAGGTAAGGTTAACCTAACCCAACTAACCAAACGATATATCGAATTAAACAATCGAAAAATCAATATTACTCGTTCGATTGTTTGTGCCAGTAGATGGAAGTGTTATAGAGTCCTCGCCACCCTAAGTTGAGGCAGCCCAAGGCCGCACGGCGTATATCTAGTGCGGCCTTTGGCTGCCTCAACTTAGGGTGGCGAGGACTATAGTGTACCCGTCTGGCTGGCTGGACAAATCAAGGAATTGCGAATTGTGTTTGGTTAATGGTTTTGTGTTTGTGTCTCTTCAATGTGCATTTTGGAAACTTTGATTCTCATTAAAAAAAACTTACACCAATATCAATCTTCACTTACACACAGTGGCGGTTCTAGGACCTTGTCAAGGGGGGGGCGACTGGGGCGGCTTGGAGCACCCCCCAACTAAGTAGGGGGGTCTGGGGGTCCTCTCCCTGGAAAATTTGGTATTTTCAAAGCCATTTGGTGACTTTCTAAAGCCATTTTTAGGGGTCCAGGGAAAATCACACATTTCAGATTTCTACATATATTTTAATAAATTTTTGGATTATATTTGCTTGTAAATAGTCCATAAATCTCACTTAATTACGTATTCTAGAACACCTCTTGGGTTAAAATCATAGCTCAATACTCTAAAATATTTTGTTATTTTTTTAAACTCCGATACATTTTAAAATGTGAATCATAAAAAAAAATATGCCAGCACCCATAGGTACTGGGCGACAAAATCTCAGCACTGTGCGACATATGTTATTTTATGCCCTGGCTTTATGTAAAAAGCTAATAAAACATACGCTATAGTCACTATAAAATGTGTGGTTATCAGTCATGACATCCTCAGTGATATGATCAAAGGCCAATGAGAGGCTGAAGATTCAAAAAGATAATTATCCAAAACAGGATGTGGTTCAAACTCAGTTATCAGTCATGCAGAGAGTGTATGACATAGAAGTATCATTATCATTAGTACTCTTTATTTTTGTCATAGTTTGCAGTTTACTTTGCACCAGGGGGTTTGAATTCCCACCTCTCATGGTAAAGTGTTACTTACTTATTTGATTATTTTCTTTATCTCCACTTAAAGTTATTTTTTTAACTTTTGTGTTTGTAGTTTTGAGGTATTATCAAAGAGGAGTTGTTTAGTTTTTATTTAGATGTATGTAATACTAGCTGTACCCGCGGGCTTTGCCCCGTTTAACTTCATAAGTATTAATAAAACTATTGATTGCCGTACCGGGTTAAGTGGTATTTTGAGTGGCTTTTCATGGTTACTTCAAAGAACAACATTGGACTTAATTAGCTGTCAGAGAGTATTTGGGCCCTAAGAGAGTATTAAATTAAAAATGACCATCTCCACTAAGCCTGTGGTTATATTAGCTCTATTCATGAAAAAAATCTGCTCAATTGGTCAAGTCGTCGTCCTGTTCTAATGTGGTTTTATGTCAATGCTTGTAAATTTTCAAGATGAGCTCGTTCGCATGGCTCAATCTTGTCCTGATTGAAGTTCGTTTGCTTACTCATCTTTAGGTTGGAGCTCCTTCGCTGCGCTCTCTTGCCTTCAGGTTAGCTCGTTCGCTACGCTAACTCGCCTCCAGGTTAAAGTTCGTTCGCTACGCTCACTCACCTTTTGGTTGCAAGCTGTTGTCATAAATGTAAAAAAATAATTGTGCTGCACCCTGTTGGTAAACCTATTAACTCTTTAATGCTATTGAACATCACATAATCAACTTGTTTAGTTGAACCAGCTGTTATGATTCTTTAATCTATATATATAAAAGGCAAAGCCCTCACTGACTGACTGACTGACTGACTGACTGACTGACTCACTCACTCACTCATCACTAATTCTCCCACTTCCCACTTTCCTAGGAGGCTGAAATTTGGTACACTGATTCTTTAGGCATTAAATAGGAAAACTAAGTGGTTTTTATTCTGATCGGACTCTCGGGCTCCGCCCCAGTGGCTCTGGAGTTTCCCATGTTAACCTAATGGGTACTCATATTTAAATGGAATTAATGAATCATAACAGCTGTTTCAATTAAACAAGTTGATTCTGTTCTATGATGTTCAATAGCATTAAAGTTACAAGGATTACCAATAGAGTGCAGCACTATTATTTTTTTTTAAATATGTGACAACAGCTAATTTGAAACCAAAAGGTGAGTGAGCGTAGCGAACGAACTTCAACCTGGAGCCTAGGTAGCGTAACGAACGAGCTAACCTGAAGGCAAGTTAGCGCAGCGAACGAGCTCCAACCGTAAAGGTGAGTGAGCGTAGCGAACAAACTTCAACCAGGACGTGTGAGCGCAGCGAGCGAGCTCCAACCTAAAGGTGAGTGAGCGCAGCGAACGAACTTCAACCAGGACGTGATTGAGCCATGCGAACGAGCTCACATATGAAGTTAAACGGGGCAAAGCCCGCGGGTACAGCTAGTTCTATTTAAATATGAGTACTCATAAGGTTAACATATGAAACTCCAGAGCCACTGGGGCTGAGCCCGAAAGCCCGATCAGAATAAAAACTACTTAGTTTTCCTATTTAATGCCCAAAGAATCGGTGTACCGAATTTCAGCCTCCTAGGTAAATGTGAAGTGGGAGAAATAGTGATGAGTGAGTGAGTGAGTAAGTGAGTCAGTGAGGGCTTTGCCTTTTATATATTTAGATGTGAAATAGAAATTCAAAACCATTACAGCACAACAACACAAAACCAGCAAAACAAAAGATAAAATAAGAGAATTACATACATTTTTGTTCATAAAAACACTATCCACAAAAGAGACATATTTTTACTCCATTCGATTCCTAAGATTTATAATACAGGTTGAAAAAAGTTTATCACACTAACAGTCATGAATTTGAACAGATGGTATTTTTGGCCTTTGGACCTCAATATGAAAAGTAAATCGGTCCCGGGTCGGGTCTAGGTCTTCCCTTGAGATCTACGTTAATAACTTATTCCCTACATGGGAATTTCGCTAAAAGAGTAACCTACACAATTAATGTTTTCAAAATCTACAAAGCCATTTTATGTGGTCATATTGCTAAGGTATTCTTCTGTATGCTGAGCAGTGAGCACTGAGCTGTGGTCTATCTCATCCTTAAATATGTTATATGTTGAGATAATCTTGTTTTTTGTGTGTACCTGATTTCAGAGCATCTTGGTCCAGAATTTTTCTTTTCAATTACCTTTTTGCTTACTTTTTTCTACTCAAGGTGCGAAGTCCCACTGGAAGCATATGATTGATTGATTGATTTGATTTGATTTGATTTTAAGCATATACAGTCATGACTTGTTTTTCAGGGTAAATACACACTCAAATGCAACCTGATTTGTAACTGTGTTGGTGGAGGAAGTGGTTACAAGATACAACTCAGTAACAGCACACTTCCTTCTGACTGTGGAGCAATACACCTAGGTAGAGTTCTGGCTAATAACACGATGGTAATGATTTTATTTTAACTTCCTATGGTCAAGAACCAGTTTATAATAAGTATACAAAGAACGGTTTGATAATTTGTGTTCCTCATATTTCTTTTTCATTCTAGAATATGTCAAATAATTTATATATATATTGTATTTTTATGTATGTTGCCTAATTTAGAATATGTCAATCAAGAGCTATTGTTCAATATTTCCAAATTAATAAAAAAAATAGCTATTTACGTTACAAGTGTAGTAAGAGCGCTTGTACATAATTCACCTAAAAGTGATGTAAACACTCTCTTGCGTAACGTGTAACGTACAAGATTTCACCTGACCTGACAATATTCAGGTGGTTACGTACAATATTTTACCCAACCCGCCATGTTAAACTTCCCTATCCCAAGCGTGATTTTAACAACTTCTTTACTTCACGAGTGTCACGAGACTTAAGTAATGAAACCCATTTACATAACATTGAGTCCTCAACTTAAAAAAATATACCTCTATGGAGCCAACGACGTTCAATGCTAGAAATCAGCTGTGGGCTTGAATTTTATTGTTATACTTTAAAGAATTATCGTAACCTATCTTTTGTGTGTAAAATAACGTTACTGTTAGAAGATGAGTGAAATGGATAATGAAAAATATTGTACGTAACCCCCCATATATTGTCGGGTCAGGTAAAATCTTGTACGTTAAACGTTACGCAAGAGCGTGTTTACATCCCTTAGGTGAATTATGCAGCTCGCTTCCGCTCGTTGCACAACATTCACCTGCGTGATATGAAAACACTCTTACTACTCTTGTAAGGAGACTGGGCTATTAAAGGGTATTACAAATAATTACAAGGTTTATATAGGGTTTATAAAGGGTAGGGTAGGGTCAAATAACACTGATCATCCTATAGTAACTGGTTCAGATATTTGTCGTTTAACTTGATAATGCTATTCCATCAGCCCTAGTCTAGTAGGGTTTCATAAGAATATCAGAGAAGTCATACAGTGGCTACATATCTTAAACTATAAATACTTAGACAGGCTTATGCCATAGGTTACTTAAGCAATGGTGGAATAACCTAAAACTTTTCAGGTATCGTACTCATGGTATGTGTGGATTGATGAAAAATGGAATGAGATAATGAGAGATAACTTGGCACAAGGCTGTGAGACAATGTTGAAGTCTGTTCCTGAAATGTTCACTCTGCTCAATGTACCTACCAGTTGTCCTCTGACCAATGTAAGTGGAGAGATTCTATTGGTTCACTCTGCTCAGTGTACCCATCAGTTGACCTCTGACCAGTGTAAGTGAAGAGATTCTATTGGTTCACTCTGATGGTCAGTGTACCCACCAGTTATCCTCTGACCAATGTAAGTGGAGAGATTCTATTGGTTCACTCTGCTCAGTGTACCCATCAGTTGACCTCTGACCAGTGTAAGTGGAGAGATTCTATTGGTTCACTCTGCTCAATGTACTCACCAGTTGACCTCTGACCAGTGTAAGTGAAGAGATTCTATTGGTTCACTCTGCTCAATGTACCCATCACTTGACCTCTGACCAGGGAGAGATTCTATTGGTTCACTCTGCTCAATGTACCCATCACTTGACCTCTGACCAGGGAGAGATTCTATTGGTTCACTCTGCTCAATGTACCCATCACTTGACCTCTGACCAGGGAGAGATTCTATTGGTTCACTCTGCTCAATGTACCCATCACTTGACCTCTGACCAGGGAGAGATTCTATTGGTTCATTCTGCTCAATGTACCCATCACTTGACCTCTGACCAGGGAGAGATTCTATTGGTTCATTCTGCTCAATGTACCCATCACTTGACCTCTGACCAGGGAGAGATTGTATTGGTTCACTCTGCTCAATGTACCCATCAGTTGTCCTCTGACCAATGTAAGTGGAGAGATTCTATTGGTTCACTCTGCTCAATGTACCCATCAGTTGTCCTCTGACCAATGTAAGTGGAGAGATTCTATTGGTTCACTCTGCTCAATGTACCCATCAGTTGTCCTCTGACCAATGTAAGTGGAGAGATTCTATTGGTTCACTCTGCTCAATGTACCCATCACTTGACCTCTGACCAGGGAGAGATTGTATTGGTTCACTCTGCTCAATGTACCTACCAGTTGTCCTCTGACCAGTGTAAGTGGAGAGATTCTATTGGTTCACTCTGCTCAATGTACCCATCACTTGACCTCTGACCAGGGAGAGATTCTATTGGTTCACTCTGCTCAATCTACCCATCAGTTTAACTCTGACCAGTGTTAGTGGAGAGATTCTATTGGTTCACTCTGATGGTCAATGTACCCACCAGTTGACCTCTGACCAGTTTAAGTGGAGAGATTCTATTGGTTCACTATGATGGTCAGTGTGCCCACCAGTTGACCTCTGACCAGTTTAAGTTGAGAGATTCTATTGGTTCACTCTGATGGTCAGTGTACCCACCAGTTGTCCTCTGACCAATGTAAGTGGAGAGATTCTATTGGTTCACTCTGATGGTCAGTGTACCCACCAGTTGACCTCTGACCAGTTTAAGTTGAGAGATTCTATTGGTTCACTCTGATGGTCAGTGTACCCACCAGTTGTCCTCTGACCAATGTAAGTGGAGAGATTCTATTGGTTCACTCTGATGGTCAGTGTACCCACCAGTTGTCCTCTGACCAATGTAAGTGGAGAGATTCTATTGGTTCACTCTGATGGTCAGTGTACCCACCAGTTGTCCTCTGACCAATGTAAGTGGAGAGATTCTATTGGTTCACTCTGATGGTCAGTGTACCCACCAGTTGACCTCTGACCAGTTTAAGTTGAGAGATTCTATTGGTTCACTCTGATGGTCAGTGTACCCACCAGTTGTCCTCTGACCAATGTAAGTGGAGAGATTCTATTGGTTCACTCTGATGGTCAGTGTACCCACCAGTTGACCTCTGACCAGTATAAGTGGAGAGATTCTATTGGTTCACTCTGATGGTCAGTGTACCCACCAGTTGACCTCTGACCAGTTTAAGTTGAGAGATTCTATTGGTTCACTCTGATGGTCAGTGTACCCACCAGTTGTCCTCTGACCAATGTAAGTGGAGAGATTCTATTGGTTCACTCTGATGGTCAGTGTACCCACCAGTTGTCCTCTGACCAATGTAAGTGGAGAGATTCTATTGGTTCACTCTGATGGTCAGTGTACCCACCAGTTGTCCTCTGACCAATGTAAGTTGAGAGATTCTATTGGTTCACTCTGATGGTCAGTGTACCCACCAGTTGTCCTCTGACCAATGTAAGTGGAGAGATTCTATTGGTTCACTCTGATGGTCAGTGTACCCACCAGTTGTCCTCTGACCAATGTAAGTGGAGAGATTCTATTGGTTCACTCTGATGGTCAATGTATCCACCAGTTGTCCTCTGACCAGTTTAAGTTGAGGCATAGGTTCACTCTGCTCCATGTAGGCCTACCCACTAGTTACCTTATTACCTTATATTACCAAAGCTGTGCTGTTAATCAGCATAGCTGGATAAACTGCTCAATTTTTAAATTGAAAATTATATTTACACCAAACAAAATAAGACTCATATCTTTTAAGGAATAAAATAAAAAATTGGCGGGTGACTACGTAGGTGATGTGCATTCTACAATTTATCATCAAAATGCTGT